CCCTTTAAAAGAAGTGGGCTGCAGTCCCTGGGAGGGGGGGCATACCTGAGCCACTCAGACAAGGTGAGACAGGTCCCTCCGTTGGCTGCAGTGCAGAGAGTCCATGTAGCGAGGGGGGACCTGGTGACAGAGTAATTGGCCAATTACCAGTGATTTGTACTGCAGTGTGTGGAGTGGGAGTGCTCTCTGGACCAGTCTCTGTTGGACAAATTTAGGATATTACAAAACAATGATGCACTACTTCGAAAAGCGTTATGGTTTTAAATTCTGATTGTCAAACACCCAACAACTCTACTCCTCATTGGGTGAATTTGACTTATTAAAGGTTTTAATATTCTGTGTGGTCCTCTGTGTTTTGTAGTTGTGTGTGCATTGCATTATTGTCCTACCTTAAAATATGAAAAAACAGACATATTTGACTTTTACAAATCCTCCTTCCTGGAATTTACCTGGTTTTCTCCCCATTGCTGCCTGGCATAATTCCAACTCTTTCACTTATATACAGAATCTCCCATCAATTCCTGCTGCGCTGTTCATCAAATTATTCTTTCTTTTTGTTTGTCCCTCTATCAAATGTCCTCTGTGTCATTTTTTTCATCAGTCTTTCACAATATTTGTATGTTTGGGTAGACTGATCTTGCATAAAAGGATTACTTGAGCATCTTAATGTCGCCGTACTTGGTGGAGGAACAGTGTGTATTTACCAGAAGCTGAAAAGTTTTATTTTTTATAATACAATGTTACCAAGTCGTACTTATTAAAGTGAGTTATTTAGCACCTTTCTTTTTTCTTTCATCTTCTTGCAGAGAATTCACTCATTTTCCACGGTCAGATTCAGGATCACAGGAAAACTGAGGACGGGCTGATGTTGAAGGTCTTAAACTAGTCTTCACATGACAGATTTCAAGCATGCGTAGCTAAATTCAGTCTGTGAATTAATTGTCCACAAGACCTTATTTCCATCGCGGTGACTGTTTGTCTTTGAACTGAGAAAATCAAACGTTTGGATGGAAACTGCGCCGTCAGCTCGACACCCCAAACAACAACGTGACAGATTCCCATCTAAGTCAAGGTCAGCTCTGACTTGTGCTGCAGCAAGCCCCCCTGTCAGCCCCAGCTGCTGGGCTCTAATGACAGCCAGCTGTTTGATCGGCGGCTCGCTTGTCACTGAATATGTGTGAGAAACCTGCCGCTCATTCCACTGCGCCAACATAGCTGCAGCCTGAATGTGACCCACAGCCACGAACATGAAGGGACAGTTTGACAACACTGTTCATTCAGAGCAAATATTAGGTGTTAAAGGAGACACATCCTGCTTTAATCCTTCTTTTTCACATTTAAATCATTCAGTTTGGATTTATATTAAGAGGAACTGCAATGTTTTGGTCTGAATTCCTCCTTATTGTAACTCCACAAGCCCCCGATTCACCCCTTTTCTGAGGTGTGTGTCAGATCAACTCGTTTTGATCCTGTCTCTTTAAATCTAAACAAGTTGTTCACTGCCCTCTCCAGCTTCTAGAGCAGAGGTGCCCAAAGTGGGGCCCGTGGGCCAAATTTGGCCTGCCAAGCCATTTGATTTGGCCCACTGGCAGTTATCCTGGTTACTAGATTATAATCTCCTGTTTTATGTAGACATACTATGTGCACTTAGTCTTTTCAAACATTGGTCCAACTATAGGTACAAGGAGCTCTAGTCAGATAAACTTCACTCATGGTGCTCACTTCATCTTTGAACTATGTTAAGAATAAACTTAAAATACAAGCAACTTCAAGAGACATTTATATTAGATTTAAGTTCATTTCTAGATTTGCACACCTTATAAGCCTTACAAGACCATATATACTCAAATTTTAAATTATGAAAAGTCCCATGAGCCTTTCCTGCCCCGAGCAAACATTGAATTTTCTCCATGTCCATGGGCTTGAAAAAAAATATGGGCAACTGCACTGGCTGCAGCTTAATCATAAAAAATACAACTTTCCTTGAAATATTTACATTTCGTGTATTATATTACTGCATTTGGCCCACCCCTCTCAGATTGATTTTAATTTTGGCCCTTTCAGAGAAAATGTTTGGGCATCCCTGTTCTAGAGCGATCCATTCTAGTTTCATAGAGGGGGTTTATGACTATAAAGTGGCAAAGAAACCTTTTATTTACAAGTTAATCAAAAGAAGGGAAGACCTGTCCATCAGTCTGAGAGCCAGAAAAAAATGAAGACGACAAAATGATAGTTAAGTCCAGACCTTATATTTAGAAGTCCTGTCCCAAATTCTGTGATGTAATATAGAAAATGTCACAGAGAAAAGGTTGTAAAATATGACCCAAACAGAATACAAAGATGTCTTTGCAGCACCAGGAGAAACTAAATTCAACTTTTCTGCACTCTCCTCTCTAAAATGTATTTAATGGCTGAAAAAGTGGATTTTGTGGATAAAAGTGGATATTTACTCTTTAAGATTCTTCTGCTCTTTAAATCTATTTTTAAAATGTTTCATTTAATTAAGTGGACTCTTGTTTTTAGCATTACTTCAATGGCATCCATCAACCCTTTGGCTTTTATTTTCCTTTTTCTCCTTTAGTTTTCAGAGCACAGGGGTCTCATGATGCATTTTGGCTGATATTTCATTGACGTACTTGTGCCATGGTGCAAGTTTAAGTGTGAGCAGCAAACCCCACTCACAATCAGGTCCTTACACTGTGAAGGTGTTGGGATCCAGGTCTCGGGGATACCTCCTCTTGGTATTTATAGGAGCAAGTTTACCTTCCTAATTTAGGATGGAAAGTGGTGCCAATTTGCAGCAAAAATGTTTGCTGACTCATTATGAATCCTGAAAGAGGCTTAAGTTGCAGCACTCAGATCAGATAGGTTTGTATTTGTTTGTGTACCTTCCGGGAACATGTTGGACGTTTATTAGGCTGAACCAGAAGTCTAATTACATAATCAGAGATGATTGAGTTAAATCAAATCAACACTTTCCCAATGTGTTTTTCCTTCCTTCCTTTCATCTGCGTACAAGAATTTCTTCTAAAAACATGAACTTTGACTAGACCTCAACTTTATGTATCATTTTTTATTTGTTTTGTTTTGTTTTTCTCAGCTGTCACATACTGTCACTAACAGGCTGCAAAATGTTGATTCAGAAATTCCTCTACCAGTCAAATTCTTACAAGCTTCTCTGAGCTGTAAGAATTATTGCTAGAAAACACTACAGTAATCCATCAAATATATTATTTTATCAGTTGAAATTATTGAAGTTCTATGAGTTGGTTGATTATAATATTTTACAGGTTGTGTATAAGGCTCATAAATGTATATTGCCCTCAAACATCCAATTGAATTTTGTTAAGAGGGAAAGTTGTTATGATCTGAAAGGGGTAGAGATGTTTGTGAAACTGGATTTTGAACTAGCTTGAGGGAGCGATGTACCTCGATACAAGGAATAAGACTATGGAACAATCTGGAGAGTAAAGTCAAAAATGCCAGAACAATATTTATGTTCAAGAGAATGATAAAGGTCATCTTGTTAAAGAAATATGAAACAATGTAATGAGTATTCATACGATATGATATTTAATAAGGATTTGATGTTGTTTTTTGGTTTTTTATGTAGTTTTTGTTTGTAGATCCTTATTGTTTAAATCTATTTTTGAGAAAAAAGGTGCAGATATGAGATTTTTTCTTTCTGTCGCCTTTCATTTTATTTGTGATTTGTGTTTTCTTTTATTGTACATAAGTTTTTTTTAATTAATAAATTAATCTTACTTAAACATGCAAATTGTTCAGAAAATAAATATATTTGGGGGATTTTTGTTTAAAATCTTTCAAATGATTTTCTAACCTTTATTCTACAAATTATACCAGAGTTGAAATACAACTTAAAGTCCAAGATTAGCAAAAAATCCTATCCTTGTACCTTTAAACAGTCGGCATGAAAAGACATTTCCTCTGTGAAAACGAACGAGTGTGACCTTTGGCCCCGGCACATCCGTCATGGAGACAGATAAGACAAAGCCGAGACGTACTATTGTTGCAGCAGCCAATCTAAGGAAACCTGCTGGTTTTCAAGCATGAACCTCAGTAATGTGAGAAGTTAAAGGAAGCTAAAGCCTTCATTTGCTTTAGGTGCCTTAGCTGAAGCCATGAGAAAAAAAACTAATGTAGAGATAAAACAAAAATTGGTGGGAAAGCAGGCTAACACCAAATGCCAAACATGAGGTTATAGATGAAAATTAGGACATATCAGAGCTTTACTGTGATTATCTTTGAGACAATCTATAATTTCCTAACTTGTCCTTGTCCTGGTTGCATATAGGCAGATGTTGGGGCATGAAAGCAGTCTAAAAAGACAATAAATTTATAAATAATTCAGTGATTCAGGTTTGAGTCACCTCGTAGGTCAGGTTGCACTTTCCTGTGACTAATGCTGGGCATTAAACTCAGCATGATGAAACTGTTAAACGATTTCAGTTTAGAACTACTTTCCAGACAAGAAACTGGGTGACACACAACATCCAGAAGAACGAACAGACTCCAAAAGAATACCAGCTCTCACTGTGTCTGGAAAAGAGCATATAGATGAGTCAGAACCAACGTATTTCACTGACAGGACTAAAATACAATGTCCTGCAATCATTTGTGTGTTTTAAATTGCACTAGAGATATACAGCTAAACGTACAGACTTGACTAAAGTTAGCTGAAGCTTTAAACCGAGTCTGTCATTGAAAATGAGAAAGTTACTTCCTTCAAAAGAATATTGAAAATTCATTAAAAAATACAAAATCTAAAAGTGAGCAGAAAAAAAATCTGTCAAATCAAAATTAGCTGTGATCATTTTAACCTTCACATTACAACTGAACAGGAATTAAAGAGGATTATGTCCACGTGTGTGCCTAAACGGTTAAACCAAACAGGTGCTGATCGTCATTTCTAGACGACGACTGAAACCCAGTTATTAACTGAATCTGAAACAGCTGTGATGAAGGCTCCAACTGCAGGAGCAACAACCAAACTCTGCTACCAAGGTGAGGATGTGACCGTTTCATGTCAGAGGTCAGACATCATGACTGAGAGCAGCAACAAGACCCGAGGAAGTTAAAATTCGTCACCAAGACATCTAGGTAAGGATTTTGAAGCAGACCAGAGCTTCAACAAGTGTTTAAATTCTTTTGAACAAGGACAAAAAAAAACATAGGATGAGAAAGTTTGGAATCTGGATCTGGCACAGCAAACAAAAATAAACCATAAAGCTTACTTTTCTTTGTAATCAGTGTTCAGCAGTCTGATTAAAAGTGGTCTTTGAGGAGGAATCGTGACCATAAAGCTCTGACACTGAAAGCAAACATTACCAAAACGTTAGACTTATGGTGCAAAAAATAACAATTAATCAATAAATACAAAATAGGCAGCAGGTCTCCCATACTGGTTGGTAAAAAGATTTTGGTGTTGAGCAAAGGGCTGAAGAGTCTTCCAAAACCTTTTTCACGGTGCTGCAAAGAGGATCCCCAGTGTAAACAACAGGCTCTCCTCTGTGTGCACATTTAGCATGGATGTATTGGAACAGGAAGAGATAGCAGACAGGCTATCACTGCTGTGAATGTGTAAGTTTACATGTTTCGACGTCCTCATTCAAACTTACTCCCACTTTAATCTTCGGTGCTCCTGACCCACTGCTGTTCTGTCACCATGACATGTTTAACAAATACTGTCTGGCCTGGACAGGATGCACCACGGCCTTCCAGAGGTGTCGTCGTCTGTCTGCGCAGAGAGTGATGGATTATGTAGGATTCAAGGGTCTTCAGACTTCTTCAAACTTCAAACACCACGGTACATTTTTGTCCCCTCTCTCTAAGTAAACTCTGTTTGTATACAGACAGATCAGTTCAATACTTTTAAGAGAAAAAGGGATTTATTTTTTGTTGTCTGACCCTTTTTATTTTTCCAGTGTCTTGCTTCTCAACAACACCAAATAGACTGTCTGAACAGCACCCTTCAATCACTCAACACAAAGGCAACAAAACACGCCTCTGTAAATATTTCAGTGGGCTCAGCACCCCATCCAGGGTCTTGCTGCTTGCTGTCTGCTGGTCGTCTGAGTGAGCCATTGTGTGGCCCATGGCAGACTGTTTTGTGTTGTGCTGCTGGACGTGGCTGCTCTGTTGTACGGAGGCAGCAGTGCTTGCATGCATGCAGCAGCGGACAGGATTAGGACTGATATTTCTCTGTGTCTAACCGGCTGCCAGGCATGCTCCACTGCCTTTACACAGCACACACCTTTGACGTCATTTCATTCACTGCTGCATAAAAACGCAACCTAAACCGAGTTCAGATCGTTTATTAAAGACGTAGCTCAGACACGTTGTAGTAAAAATAAATGTTCTATGTGGATCTTTATATCATTGCAAAAACTGTCCATCTGACCAAGTTTTAAAATCTTATATCAGCCAAAAAGTCTTTTTGATCTTGTTTTGAGACTGATTTACTAAACAAGAACTGATTGTGTAAGAATCTTGTTTTCAGAATGTGTAAGATTATTTGTCTTGTCAGAAAATTTGACTCAAATTAAGACAAAAATTTCTGCCAATGGAGTAAGAAAATTTTACTTGGTAAGATTCTTGAAATAAGAAAAAAAATTGAGTCAAATCAAGTATTTCAAGAATCTTACCAAGTAAAATTATCTTTCTCCACTGGCAGAAATATTTGACTTAATTTGAGTCAAATTTTCAGGCTAACAGGAAAAATAATCTTACACAATCTGAAAACAAGATTATTATTCTTACACAATCAGTTCTTGTTTAGTAAATCAGTCTCAAAACAAGATCAAAAAGATTTTTTGGCTGATATAAGATTTTATAACTTGGTTAGATGGACAGTTTTTGCCTCAGTTTGGAGAAAAGCAGCAATAAGGGTTCTGTGCACGTGTGTTCGTTTGTCTGTAGAGTGAAACAAACATTTCACAAAGTACCGAACGGATCTGTTTTAGAACTTAATAGATGTGCAAGTATTGTCATGTGGAGTCAGTTCCATACAACCAACTGATATTAGCCAACACAAATGGTCAGAACTGAACATGGGCACAGTTAGCGTGGGGGACATGCCCCCCGACCCCAGATTTAGAGACCCTGATCAGTCCCTGCCATGATCCCTGATAGGACGAGAAAAGTCTCAGATCAAAACTGACGATGCTGACGCTCCAACAGAAGAGCTGCAGCAGTGGTCAAAGACAGCTCGCTCTCACTCCCTGCCTTTTTCTCTGTGACACAGAGCGGAGCGGTGCAGTACACACACGTCTGTTCTTCTATTCTCATGGGGACTTTGCATTGACACATTCATTTCCCTGGTCGTTTATAAAGCCTAACCCTGACCCACCAAAAGTATTTTCCCCAACAAAGACTAGGATTTTCCCCCCATAAGGAACAGTGGATCCTTACCAGGCTGTGCTTACAGCAGAGGAGCCCAAAGCGGGCCAAATTTGGCCCACCAAGCCATTTGTTTTGGCCCACCAACAGTTGCCAAAGTTACAAGGTTGTAACCTGTTATCCTATGGTAGAAACACAGTATTTCTATTGGTCAAATGATTATATAAAAGGGCTGTAGTGAAGGTAGTTTTATTCATGGTGCTGATTTTATCTTTGATTTATTAGGATTAAACATGAAACATGAAATGACAAGAAATATTTAGATCAGATTTAACCACATGTAGATTTGCACACTTTATAAGGCGACAAACTCATATTTTATCAATTTATGAAATGTCCCATGAGCCTTTGCTACTTGAGCGTATGGCAGACTTTCTCCAAGTGCACAGAATAAAACAAAAGAGGGCCCTTACATACGATCAGAATTTTCATACAGGACAGTTTTTTCTAACAAAACTTAGCTAGTTCAGGTGATCCATTAGCTATAATTTAAGTTCAGTGATGAGTTTAAATCTATTATTGAGGTGTTTTTAATCAGTTAAACTATTTTAATGACAAGAATGAGGAAACTGAAGCAAGTAAATTACAGAAATTGGTCAATTTAAGCATTTAAAGTACTGCTTGTATTATTAGCAAGGATAAAATGGGTTTTTTTTAGTTTCAGTATTTTTTACATAAAAACAATGCTTCATTGGCAGAGAACTAACTCTTAACAACAATGCCACTTGAAATTAAATTTAAGACCAACTTCACAATAAACACAAATGAGAAAACACAAGAACAATTAGTCGTCTCTTAATTTATTCATGTTATATCATATTTTCTTGACTTTTTAAAAGCAGACCGACTTCAGGTGGCAGTAAAATAAACCCAATATTTAATCCATCTCCATGTCTGTTGATGTAGGAGCTGAAAGTCAGAGGTTATTAATATCAATCTGTTCATTGCGTAGTTAATATTTTAACCATGTAGTACTTGGAACAATGACACATTACAAATAAAACTAACAAATAATAAAGTAAAATTCTCATCTAAAAGTCATTGTTTGGGATAAATTGTCACCTTAATTTCATTATCATAGCTATAGCAGTGAGTTCAAAAACGGGATAAATCAACTAGAATCTGTCTCTTTTTAGTTATTTGATCAAGTGTTTTTTTATGTAGGTAAAAGTATGTTTAGGAACCTGTAAAATACACCAGAATGCAGGAAACTACATCTAATTTCAAAATTTTCTGGTGGAGGACCCCCAGAACCCCCACTAATGGCCCCCTCACACATATTACAATGCTTCTGATGCTCTTGGTTTAATGTTTATGTTAGATTATTGCACCACAACAGAAACATTTACTTTGTTGTTGATGAGGTGTGAAGAGGCAGGTTTTGGTCGGTGACCGGCATTTCAAACAAATAACAGTTTCAAAATATATTGCTAGTCTTGATTGGAAAGATGTTCGTTTAATAACTTTCATTGTTGTTTATCCGGTACCCCCATGAAATCATTTGCTGAATGCTTTGTTCCCCCAGTTCAAATATCCTGTCTGCACCCCTGGAACTGAACCATATTTACATATATTAAGATGAAATGGTATGTAGTAGCTAAAATTGATCCACAACAATTTTTTTTACATATTTTACAAAGTAACAACATTGCATGAATTTGTCTATACTGTCATTTACCAGAGGTGTAGTAACATTTATTTTGTTATAATACTTGATAAATTTACAAATCCTTACAAAAATTAAATAAGCATTTTTAACTTTTATTTCATTACATTAAAAACATACTTTTACCTCTTTACTTTAAAATTTAACACTTAGTTACACCTTCAAATTTAATATGACTAGAACACATCATGAAAAGAGCTGTACTCTAAAAAAAAATGAAGTGTTGAAATTATTTTACCAAGTTATGTCAACTCCAACAAACCAAGTTGAGCAGATGTGAAGCGATATACATATTTAAAATGTGTAAATTTCTCAGTTTACTCAATTCAGTTTAGTGGATCCACTTTGGTTTAGTAAATTCAACACTATTTTTTTAAATGTGTAAAATAAATATATTTTTACTTTTTACTTTCGGGATTATTGTGAGTAGTACAGTATTGACTTTTAATTGAGTCATTTTCTTATCAGTGAACTTTTTTCAGTCTTTTCCTGTTAATGTATTTTTACTTCTTTCAAGTCCCTTTATAGACTTTTGTCATTTATTAGGTTTGCACAAAAAAGCTATAACTACTAGGGGTGCAACAATACATGTACCCGTATCGAACAGTGCTTTAGGTTCAATACACACTTGTTTCGAACAATACAGATTTTTAAAATTAATTTTATCATCTCGTCTTCTGAAGATGCTCTGTGTTGAAGGATCAGTGGATCTGTGTTCGACTACTCCACCTAGGCTGCATTTTTGAGCTCAGATCCACTGAGAAACTTGCTGTTTCAGCAACGTTTAATTTAAAATCTGTACTTTTGAGGTTAAACAAATGTTCATAATTAATTTAAATAAATGACAAGTTAAAAGGGGCATGGAAATTTCTCTTTTTTTGCATCAAAAAAAATCAAACCGTGGGACTGAAGTATCGATCCAAACCGAATAGTGAATTTTCTGTATCATTGCACCCCTACTAACTACTCACTTTTCCACATAAGGTGCTCTTGATGATAAAATGGCAGGTTATATGCAATCCTTAAAAAATAAAAAGTTAACAGGATTTAAAGCTGATGGAGAGTTCCAAGTTATTTTTTAAACAAATCTAAACTCAAGAAATGCAGTGACCCAGAAAGCACTAAAATTGCTACTGCAACCAGCGTTGGTATTTTTGCATGCAAATAACAGAGAGTTTAAATAACTTTTTATTAACAAGATTAATAAAATAAAGTTCATATAAAAATGTGAGATTGGAGATTTGAATGAAACAGAAGAAGCCTCCTGTGGTCTTGGCCCTGCTCAGACTATTGCTCATTTATTCAGTCAAAATAATTATTTTTCTCTAAACTTCATTAAAAGGCTATTTACAACAAGTAGGACAGTTTTTTTTTCATAATATTAATAATACCCTTCTTTAAAATATCCACTGCTTAAAAAACAAAATAACTTTAATTTATTGATGCACTGTTGGTGTTTTATTGTCGTTCAGCGACATGACTGAAACTATGGCTTCTTGCTATTTTCTTTTGTCTTCTAAAAGTAAATAATCCTCATCTTTAGATATTATTGCTGAAAAAATAATAAGAGAATCCTGTTTTGGGATGGTTTTGCCCTTGGTATCAGCACTTCCCTCTGCGCTCCCCTGCAAGTCTTCAGGGAGCACTTTCCAATAAGAGTAATGTCCCCCCTGTGCATAGCCACCATGCAGCAATTTATGGGCAGATTACAGATTCTAATAAAAAATTTTGCAGCCTTAATTAAAGAATCTGCTCCCTATTCTGTGATAGTTCAGTTGCCCTCGCCACGTCTGTCCAATCTAATTATTGTGATGTACATAATTAGCATGCACTGGCCATTGTTCGCCTCATTTGCATATTATATTGGATAATTGAATGAGAGTGGCTGATGATTAAATTAGGGTGAATGACAGATGATTCGGCTCGCGGTGTGGAAAAGTTAACAGAATGAGCAGACTGGGAATACGACATGTACCTTTTGAATATTTATACGTCTCACAGAGATCCCCCCCCCCCAACCCCCGACAGGAGCACTCTGCTGATTTAAAATAATGTGCAGCAGCTAAACTTGGGTTTATCCAAGTCAAAGCAGGGTTTTCCTTCAATTGAGTTCCTCGTCAGAGGTTGCGTTTAATGAGAAGGGACAGGGAGAAAACTGTACATATAAAAGACACTATTTACAGCGTGTTTCTGCTTCAGTCTGGCAGCACATTTATAAGCTGATAAGACAAATGAGACCAGCGTGGGGAAATTCATTTCCAGGCACCTCTAATGTAAACACAGACTCCTGGTGCCTGCCTGTTATGGACAAGCTGCACTTTGCTGATCAGGAAAACATGATGCGAGACATGTT